GCCTGCCGTCTAGACTACGCCACTGCTCTTGTTGCTGAGTTTGCGTCTGCTAGTCCTCCGTCCGTCGGGGGTGAGTGTGCTCTTGGCACGGACGTCCTTGAGGACAGGCAGGAGAACTTTGAGTCTCTTGCAGCTGCTGTACCTCGTTTTGCTTCCATGCTGCTTGCCCCTGAGGGAGACCCGGATGCACTAGACATCCCGACCCCGCGCTCTTACGCAAAGGCGATTACGGGTCCTTACTCCTCTCAGTGGCAGGCAGCCATGGATGCCGAGATGGCATCCTGGAAGTCCACAGGCACCAACGTCGACGAGGTTCCCCCACCTGGGGCGAACATTGTCGATGGCATGTGGATCTTCAGGGTGAAGCGGCCGCCGGGTTCTCCGCCTGCCTTCAAGGCACGTTACGTTGCTTGAGGTTCCAGTCAACGACAGGGAGTTGACTACTTCCAGACCTCCCCCACCCGAAGATGACTACTCTTTGGGTGTTGCTGCACGTCGCTGCTCAGCGTGACTACGAGTTGCACTCTCTGGACTTCAGCACAGCTTTCCTGCAGGGCAGCCTGCACGAGGAGATCTGGCTGCGCCGCCCACCTGGCTTCACTGGGTCGTTTCCTGCAGGTACTCTGTGGAGCCTCCGCCTGCCAGTCTACGGTCTCCGTCAGGCGCCTCGCGAGTGGCACGACACGCTGAGGACTACACTTGCGGCTCTTGGGTTTGCTCCTTCTACTGCTGACACGTCGCTGTTTCTCCGCACCGACACCTCGCTGCCGCCGTTCTACGTCCTCGTGTGCGTAGACGACCTCATCTTTGCCACTGCTGACACTGAGGCACTGACCCTTGTGAAGTTGGAGCTGCAGAAGAGACACACCTGCACTCACCTGGGTGAGCTGCGCAGCTTTCTTGGCTTGCTGATCACCCGGGACAGAGCACGGCGCACCATCACCCTGACTCAGTCACACATGGTGCATCAGGTCCTTCAGCGCTTCGGCTTCCAGTTCTCCTCGCCACAGCCCACTCCTCTGTCTACCAGCCACTCGCTCTCAGCTCCACCTTCGGACGAGTCTGTAGAGCCAAGTGGTCCGTACCCAGAGCTTGTGGGTTGCCTCATGTACCTGATGACGTTCACACGACCTGACCTGAGCTTGTGGAGCCGAGTGGTCCGTACTCTCTCAGCCTTCTGGCTCGCTACATGGCTCCCGGTAGGCACCGAAAGGTGCACTGGGATGCTTCGAAGAGGTTACTGCGTTACCTGTGCAGTACGTCGGGCATGGGGCTCGTGCTTGGAGGACGGGGTCCATTTGTCCTCACTGGTCACGCAGACGCTTTGTGGGTTGACGACTCAGCTACGCAGCGGTCGTCACAGGGTTACACCTTCAGCCTTGGTTCCGGCTCTGTTTCCTGGCGGTCTACCCGCTCGTCTTCGGTTCTCAGCTCTAGTTGTGAGGCTGAGATCTACGCAGGAGCCATGGCTGCACAGGAGTTACGCTGGCTCACCTACTTGCTGACTGACTTGGGAGAGCAGCCTCGTTCGCCTCCAGTTCTGTACGTAGACAACAAGGCCATGATTGCCTTGTGTCAGGAGCAAAGACTGGAGCACAGAACGAAGCACATCGCTCTGCGATACTTCCTTGCTCGAGAGTTGCAGCAGCGTGGTCAACTTCGTCTCGCATACGTGGCCACTCGGGCCAACACTGCTGATGTCTTCACCAAGGCACTTCCGCTTGGTGATCATCTGCGCTTTGCTACTCTGTTAGGTCTTGTGCCCACCTTGCCTCACTTGCTTACTGCCTGACTCTGCTTGTACTGTGATCTACATATATACCTGCATGCTTGCTCTTGCTAGGGTATGATCACTGTATTGTTTGTTCTCTTTTTATAACTCTGCATGTGAACTGGCCTTGTGGCCCTTTGCTTGTGCTCGGACTGTGTGGTGAGTTTGTGATCCACCCTGAGCTTGTTTGCCTTTCTTGACTGGTCTTGTGACCACTTGCTCTCCCCCAGTTTGCCTATGGGGGTGTGTCAGAATATTATAGTGCTTACATTTGTGTAGGCTATAGTGGGGTAGCCCATAAGGGGTACATTGCAATTAGGGTTAGTATTTGTACCGAACTCTTTCATAGTTCAATTATTCTCGTTCTTTCTTTCCGACAAACCTGCGCCCACGACTACATAACTTCCCCTAACTGACGGGATTAGGAAGGTGTGACTGACCTCAGCGGACAAGCGAGTCCGCCCGGGAGAGCTCGCTGCCCGCGTGAAAAAAAAAAAAAAAAAAAACCCCATTCGGGCATGCATCCGGTCAGGGAGGCATCAACCCTAAACACACGGAGGCATGGATTTAGGGTTGATACCTCCCTCGAATGGCATGCCATCCGATAGGGTTTTAGCTTTTTTCTGCCCGGGGCAGTCGTCAGGCTTGACGACCTGTTTCCGCTGGGATATTCCTTCCTGTCATTATTGCTGTTAGTTGCGCTGGCGAACACCGCCATTGTTCTCCCACCCACCCGCTCCTTGTCGGACTCTCCAATTATCCCAGGGAGGGGTGAGCGGTGTCCAGTTGAAGTGCGTCACATGTCAAGCACTGTCCCAACAGTATAAGGTAAATATGTGGCTCAGTACTGTACTCTGGAAGTCCTCATCATTCTAGGCAGAGTTAAAGCCGCCTGTTTAATATTGGCAGTCACTTGCCAGCGTTCCAGCAGAGATCTGGACGTTTGCGATTTCGTCCACGCGGTTTACCTATCTCCCTTATTCGCATTCTTAGCCAAAGCGCGTGAGTGAGGTGCTGCGTCGTGCCTGACGACGACGCACGCTTTCATGAGGTGAGCGTAACCCACGTGGATTGTAGACGTGACCGCTGAGACGGGTAAGGGGGGCTATCGACTGCAGGAGTGACGCGGCAAGGCTTACGAAATGAAGGGGGGAAACGGGGAGTGAACTCAGAGTATTGTGGCGGCGGAATGGTGCGGAAAGGCAGGCGCCATGCGGGGGGAGGGTTGGTGGAATGGGAGTCGAGGGTTGGCGGAATGAGCGTCGAGAGTTGGCGGAATGAGAGTCAAGAGTTCGCGGGAAATGAGGGGTAGGGGTAAGGGCATATGGCATGAAAAGTGAGCGGCGCGGGGGAGGGGGGGAGGGGATGAGGTCGACCATGGCAAGGCGGATGAGGGGGAAATCCTCATTGCGAAACAGGAAACTGAAGTCGGGACGAAATGGCTGGCGCAAGGTATGAAATGGCTGGCGCAACGTATGAAATGGCTGGCGCACGGTATGAAATGGCTGGCGCAACGTATGAAATGGCTGGCGCAAGCAACGTATGAAATGGCTGGCGCACGGTATGAAATGGCTGGCGCAATGAGCGCCCCATGTGCTATAGGTGAATGAGGTCTGCGCGCGTGCAGGGACGAGAGGTAAGCGGGGAGAGAGGGGGGGGGGAGGGGGGGGGGACGGCAGAGCTGACGGAATGAGGCGGGGAAACGGTATGACGTGCAGAGAGAATAGGGCTTTGGGGAAAGTGTGTGAAGGCGGGGCAAAGAGGGTGAAGGGCAGGCGTACGTGACGGCAGGGGGGATGAGAGGTGACTGCAGATGGGAAGGGAGGCGAGGTCAGAGTGGGAAGGGAGGTGATGGCAGAGGGGGAAGGGAGGTGATGGCAGGGGGAAAAGGGAGGTGATGGCGGAGGGAGAAGGGGGGTGATGGTAGAGGGGGAAGGGAGGTGATGGCAGAGGGGGAAGGGAGGTGATGGCAGGGGGAAAAGGGAGGTGATGGCGGAGGGAGAAGGGGGGTGATGATAGAGGGGGAAGGGAGGGGTGAGGGAAGAGGGGGAAGGGAGGTGATGGAAGAGGTGGAGAGGAGGTGATATCAGAAGGGGAAGGTAGCTATGTTGGAATTGATCCGTCAAGCATCTATGACGCTAGCGTCTGGGCGCTTGATGCACAATCCTGATTCTTTTGACGCAGTTTTGACGCTCTGGCGGGCAGCGGAAAACAAATTTTCGGGCAGAGATTAAAAAAAGCTTCTGAGAGGAAGAGGGGTAATAGGAGAGGAACGGCGATCTAACACCGTAGGAACAGGAAATATGCGATCTATCCTATTTTTTGTCGAGAAGCTTGCGAAGGGAAGTGTGGCGTGACGACCTAAATTGGCATAACTGGTTCTTGTAAACCTAGTTGGCTGGATTTTCTAGTTGCATTGCGGTGCAATGTGGTGTGGAGGATGTTTTTGTGTTTCTGTTTTGTGAGGGATGTTCAATGTCGAGTTGATATTTGAAGTCGCGATTTCACTGCCCGGAAAAAATTTGACCAGCGTCGAGCGTCAAAACGCATGACGCAACCCCTCCAGAGCGTCAATTTCAAGATAGGCAGGTAGGTGATGGCATGGGGGGCGGAGATGTCATATCAAAGGAGGGAGGGAGGTGATGGCAGAGGGGGAAGGGAGGGGATGACAGGGGGGTATGGGAGGAGGTGATGGGCAAGGTTTAAGGGAGGGTGTGGAAGAGGCGGAAGGGAGGTGATGGCGTGGGGGGAAGGGAGGTGATGGCATGGGGGGAATGGAGGTGATGGCATGGGGGGATGGGAGGTGATGGCATGGGGGGAAGGGAGGTGATGGCATGGGGGGATGGGAGATGATGGCATGGGGGGATGGGAAGTGATGGCATGGGGGGATGGGAGGTGATGGCAGGGGGGATGAGAGGTGATGGCAGAGGGGAGAAGGAGGCGAGGGGTGAGGGCAGATGGGCACAATTTTCAAACACCCGCGTGTCAAGCTATCCCCTCCCAGCACCCTAAGAACAGTGTCCCATGCTGCAGAGTCATTTCAGTTCCACCTCGGCCTTCCCATGCGCAGCACTTGGGTTCATATTCGATTTTCTTTCAACTGGCCTTAATAGACTCACTCATGCATGTCTGTTGTTGCACACCTGAATAGACTCACTCATGCATGTCTGTTGTTGCACACCGTCAGCGGTCGGTTTCTTATCCGACTCTTAGTTTTTGTTGACTGCAGGTAAATTTCGAGCGGATTCAAAAAGTGACTCGTGAGCAGCGACTGAGCATGGAAGGTGACTGGAGCGGTGGCGGCGGTGGCGGCGGCATGCGACCACAGGCAGCAGCGGCGGAGCCCGACTGGCGCACGCGGCTTCCGCGAGAGAAGCGGCAGATTCTGGTGAAGCGCATGTGCGTCGCTCTCTGGCACTCTGCTGCTGAAACGAGTCTATTAAGCCATAGTACCCTTGATTCTCCGTAATTCTCTCTTTAATCCATTCCGCGTGATTCTCTCCGTGATTCGTAATTCAGGTGCTTAGAAACATACAGAGCTCTCCCTCTCCCTCTCCCTCTCCCTCTCCCTCTCCCTCTCCCTCTCCCTCTCCCTCTCCCTCTCCCTTTCCCCTCTCCCCTCTCCTTCCCCCCCTCTCTCTCCATCTCCCCTATCCCTCTCCTTTTCCCTCTCCCCTCTCCCTCTCCCCTCTCCCTCTCCTTCTCCCTCTCATCCCTCGCCCGCCCACCACACGTGGCAGAATGGAGAGTCTACAGAAGTTCACATCGGCGCCCGACATGAACGAGCTCCACCGCGTGGCGGCATCCTTCGAGCAGAAGATCTTCTCAACGGCCACCAATCAGGTGCGAGCAAGCAACGGCCACCAATCAGGTGCGAGCAATCAACGGCCACCAATCAGGTGCGAGCAAGCAACGGCCACCAATCAGGTGCGAGCAAGCAACGGCCATCAATCACGTGCGAGCAAGCAACGGCCACCAATCAGGTGCGAGCAAGCAACGGCCACCAATCAGGTGCGAGCAAGCAACGGCCACCAATCAGGTGCGAGCAAGCAACGGCCACCAATCAGGTGCGAGCAATCAACGGCCACCAATCAGGTGCGAGCAAGCAACGGCCACCAATCAGGTGCGAGCAAGCAACGGCCATCAATCACGTGCGAGCAAGCAACGGCCACCAATCAGGTGCGAGCAAGCAACGGCCACCAATCAGGTGCGAGCAATCAACGGCCACCAATCAGGTGCGAGCAATCAACGGCCACCAATCAGGTGCGAGCAATCAACGGCCACCAATCAGGTGCGAGCAATCAACGGCCACCAATCAGGTGCGAGCAAGCAACGGCCACCAATCAGGTGCGAGCAAGCAACGGCCATCAATCACGTGCGAGCAAGCAACGGCCACCAATCAGGTGCGAGCAAGCAACGGCCACCAATCAGGTGCGAGCAAGCAACGGCCACCAATCAGGTGCGAGCAAGCAACGGCCACCAATCAGGTGCGAGCAAGCAACGGCCACCAATCAGGTGCGAGCAAGCAACGGCCACCAATCAGGTGCGAGCAAGCAACGGCCACCAATCAGGTGCGAGCAAGCAACGGCCATCAATCACGTGCGAGCAAGCAACGGCCACCAATCAGGTGCGAGCAAGCAACGGCCACCAATCAGGTGCGAGCAAGCAACGGCCACCAATCAGGTGCGAGCAAGCAACGGCCACCAATCAGGTGCGAGCAATCAACGGCCACCAATCAGGTGCGAGCAAGCAACGGCCACCAATCAGGTGCGAGCAAGCAACGGCCATCAATCACGTGCGAGCAAGCAACGGCCACCAATCAGGTGCGAGCAAGCAACGGCCACCAATCAGGTGCGAGCAATCAACGGCCACCAATCAGGTGCGAGCAATCAACGGCCACCAATCAGGTGCGAGCAATCAACGGCCACCAATCAGGTGCGAGCAATCAACGGCCACCAATCAGGTGCGAGCAAGCAACGGCCACCAATCAGGTGCGAGCAAGCAACGGCCATCAATCACGTGCGAGCAAGCAACGGCCACCAATCAGGTGCGAGCAAGCAACGGCCACCAATCAGGTGCGAGCAAGCAACGGCCACCAATCAGGTGCGAGCAAGCAACGGCCACCAATCAGGTGCGAGCAATCAACGGCCACCAATCAGGTGCGAGCAAGCAACGGCCACCAATCAGGTGCGAGCAAGCAACGGCCATCAATCACGTGCGAGCAAGCAACGGCCACCAATCAGGTGCGAGCAAGCAACGGCCACCAATCAGGTGCGAGCAAGCAACGGCCACCAATCAGGTGCGAGCAAGCAACGGCCACCAATCAGGTGCGAGCAATCAACGGCCACCAATCAGGTGCGAGCAAGCAACGGCCACCAATCAGGTGCGAGCAAGCAACGGCCATCAATCACGTGCGAGCAAGCAACGGCCACCAATCAGGTGCGAGCAAGCAACGGCCACCAATCACGTGCGAGCAAGCAACGGCCACCAATCAGGTGCGAGCAAGCAACGGCCACCAATCAGGTGCGAGCAATCAACGGCCACCAATCAGGTGCGAGCAATCAACGGCCACCAATCAGGTGCGAGCAAGCAACGGCCACCAATCAGGTGCGAGCAAGCAACGGCCATCAATCACGTGCGAGCAAGCAACGGCCACCAATCAGGTGCGAGCAAGCAACGGCCACCAATCAGGTGCGAGCAATCAACGGCCACCAATCAGGTGCGAGCAAGCAACGGCCACCAATCAGGTGCGAGCAATCAACGGCCACCAATCAGGTGCGAGCAAGCAACGGCCACCAATCAGGTGCGAGCAAGCAACGGCCATCAATCACGTGCGAGCAAGCAACGGCCACCAATCAGGTGCGAGCAAGCAACGGCCACCAATCAGGTGCGAGCAAGCAACGGCCACCAATCAGGTGCGAGCAAGCAACGGCCACCAATCAGGTGCGAGCAATCAACGGCCACCAATCAGGTGCGAGCAAGCAACGGCCACCAATCAGGTGCGAGCAAGCAACGGCCATCAATCACGTGCGAGCAAGCAACGGCCACCAATCAGGTGCGAGCAAGCAACGGCCACCAATCAGGTGCGAGCAAGCAACGGCCACCAATCAGGTGCGAGCAAGCAACGGCCACCAATCAGGTGCGAGCAATCAACGGCCACCAATCAGGTGCGAGCAAGCAACGGCCACCAATCAGGTGCGAGCAAGCAACGGCCATCAATCACGTGCGAGCAAGCAACGGCCACCAATCAGGTGCGAGCAAGCAACGGCCACCAATCAGGTGCGAGCAATCAACGGCCACCAATCAGGTGCGAGCAATCAACGGCCACCAATCAGGTGCGAGCAAGCAACGGCCACCAATCAGGTGCGAGCAAGCAACGGCCATCAATCACGTGCGAGCAAGCAACGGCCACCAATCAGGTGCGAGCAAGCAACGGCCACCAATCAGGTGCGAGCAATCAACGGCCACCAATCAGGTGCGAGCAAGCAACGGCCACCAATCAGGTGCGAGCAAGCAACGGCCATCAATCACGTGCGAGCAAGCAACGGCCACCAATCAGGTGCGAGCAAGCAACGGCCACCAATCAGGTGCGAGCAAGCAACGGCCACCAATCAGGTGCGAGCAAGCAACGGCCACCAATCAGGTGCGAGCAATCAACGGCCACCAATCAGGTGCGAGCAAGCAACGGCCACCAATCAGGTGCGAGCAAGCAACGGCCATCAATCACGTGCGAGCAAGCAACGGCCACCAATCAGGTGCGAGCAAGCAACGGCCACCAATCAGGTGCGAGCAATCAACGGCCACCAATCAGGTGCGAGCAATCAACGGCCACCAATCAGGTGCGAGCAAGCAACGGCCACCAATCAGGTGCGAGCAAGCAACGGCCATCAATCACGTGCGAGCAAGCAACGGCCACCAATCAGGTGCGAGCAAGCAACGGCCACCAATCAGGTGCGAGCAATCAACGGCCACCAATCAGGTGCGAGCAAGCAACGGCCACCAATCAGGTGCGAGCAATCAACGGCCACCAATCAGGTGCGAGCAAGCAACGGCCACCAATCAGGTGCGAGCAAGCAACGGCCACCAATCAGGTGCGAGCAATCAACGGCCACCAATCAGGTGCGAGCAATCAACGGCCACCAATCAGGTGCGAGCAAGCAACGGCCACCAATCAGGTGCGAGCAAGCAACGGCCATCAATCACGTGCGAGCAAGCAACGGCCACCAATCAGGTGCGAGCAAGCAACGGCCACCAATCAGGTGCGAGCAATCAACGGCCACCAATCAGGTGCGAGCAAGCAACGGCCACCAATCAGGTGCGAGCAAGCAACGGCCATCAATCACGTGCGAGCAAGCAACGGCCACCAATCAGGTGCGAGCAAGCAACGGCCACCAATCAGGTGCGAGCAAGCAACGGCCACCAATCAGGTGCGAGCAAGCAACGGCCACCAATCAGGTGCGAGCAATCAACGGCCACCAATCAGGTGCGAGCAAGCAACGGCCACCAATCAGGTGCGAGCAAGCAACGGCCACCAATCAGGTGCGAGCAATCAACGGCCACCAATCAGGTGCGAGCAATCAACGGCCACCAATCAGGTGCGAGCAAGCAACGGCCACCAATCAGGTGCGAGCAAGCAACGGCCATCAATCACGTGCGAGCAAGCAACGGCCACCAATCAGGTGCGAGCAAGCAACGGCCACCAATCAGGTGCGAGCAAGCAACGGCCACCAATCAGGTGCGAGCAAGCAACGGCCACCAATCAGGTGCGAGCAAGCAACGGCCACCAATCAGGTGCGAGCAAGCAACGGCCACCAATCAGGTGCGAGCAATCAACGGCCACCAATCAGGTGCGAGCAAGCAACGGCCACCAATCAGGTGCGAGCAAGCAACGGCCATCAATCACGTGCGAGCAAGCAACGGCCACCAATCAGGTGCGAGCAAGCAACGGCCACCAATCAGGTGCGAGCAAGCAACGGCCACCAATCAGGTGCGAGCAAGCAACGGCCACCAATCAGGTGCGAGCAATCAACGGCCACCAATCAGGTGCGAGCAAGCAACGGCCACCAATCAGGTGCGAGCAAGCAACGGCCATCAATCACGTGCGAGCAAGCAACGGCCACCAATCAGGTGCGAGCAAGCAACGGCCACCAATCAGGTGCGAGCAATCAACGGCCACCAATCAGGTGCGAGCAATCAACGGCCACCAATCAGGTGCGAGCAAGCAACGGCCACCAATCAGGTGCGAGCAAGCAACGGCCATCAATCACGTGCGAGCAAGCAACGGCCACCAATCAGGTGCGAGCAAGCAACGGCCACCAATCAGGTGCGAGCAATCAACGGCCACCAATCAGGTGCGAGCAAGCAACGGCCACCAATCAGGTGCGAGCAAGCAACGGCCATCAATCACGTGCGAGCAAGCAACGGCCACCAATCAGGTGCGAGCAAGCAACGGCCACCAATCAGGTGCGAGCAAGCAACGGCCACCAATCAGGTGCGAGCAAGCAACGGCCACCAATCAGGTGCGAGCAATCAACGGCCACCAATCAGGTGCGAGCAAGCAACGGCCACCAATCAGGTGCGAGCAAGCAACGGCCATCAATCACGTGCGAGCAAGCAACGGCCACCAATCAGGTGCGAGCAAGCAACGGCCACCAATCAGGTGCGAGCAATCAACGGCCACCAATCAGGTGCGAGCAATCAACGGCCACCAATCAGGTGCGAGCAAGCAACGGCCACCAATCAGGTGCGAGCAAGCAACGGCCATCAATCACGTGCGAGCAAGCAACGGCCACCAATCAGGTGCGAGCAAGCAACGGCCACCAATCAGGTGCGAGCAATCAACG